GTGCTAGCCTTCTGAGTTGGTAGTAATTTAACATGTCTACACAATAATTCAGCACTTGTGGTCTCCCTGCCATGACTGATTTGGGGCTTCCAGGGACAACGTTGTCATTTAACTCTCTTCGGTGAGCTCTTCATTATGAGGGAAATGAACAAAAGTGGAATGAGATTCAAACAGGACTTACTCTTTTCTACATGTCACCACTTCTGACCAGCTCCCAGTAAATGAATAAGCATCCACCATTCTGCACATTGAGCTGACCAAGTCTCCTGTTCTCAACTTCAGCCTTCTGAATGGTGTTCTCATCACTGAAAATCATCTTGGGAGTCGGGTCTTAAGTCAGAAATTATCAGTTAAGATGAAATGATTTGTTTTTCAGACATTTACTAAATAAGACATCACTTAAAAACTTCGCCTTGGGTTAGAGGCATGGCTCAAGCAGTGGAGCACTTGCCTTGGAGGATGAAGCCCTGAGTTCAAGTCCAAGTACCACCAAACAAACAACAATCCTTTAAGCTTTACAATGTGAACTGAAGATATTTTTCAGAAGTGTCAGGCAAGAAGAATGTACCCAATGTCATTAATGTAGGAACCAAGTAGTAGCACTTCCATTGTTGGGACAGGTAGAGGTCAGCCAACACCTACTAAAGTGTTCTGAGACTGTATTTACATGACAATGTGGGAGGCAGTTATTTTCTCTTTTTACTCATTAGTGTTGATTTACATCAACATGACTTTCTCACCCAAAAACATCTCTAATTCCTGATAGAAAGTGTTTTGAAAAAGCTTCAAAACCTCCCTGGAACACATTTCCTAACCAAGTAGATTCATCATCTAAGGGAAGCTGAACCTTAGGAGAGTTAGGGCAAAGCAGGGAGAGTGAAAGCTAGAGCAGCAAGCTATAGAACACAGTGCTTGCCTGGCCCCAGCAGTGCACTAACTTAGGGAACAGTGTGTCCTCTAGTGAAATGAAATTTGTTAAGGGCTGAACTGTGTCCTCCAAAAGATGTGTTCAAGTCCTAAGCCCCATAACAAGTGAATGGGATTCTATTCAGGACCTATCTGGAAACAGGATTTTCCTAGATGTAATCAAGAGGAGATGATGCTATTAGGGGAGCCTTAATTCAACATGACTGGTGCTCTTACAAGGGGAGAAGAGACACAGACCTGGACACAGGGAGAGGACACCAAGTGAAGACAGAGAAGTGGAGCAAAACATCCATAAGCCAAAAAACGCTGAGTCTCGCTGGTACCACCAGAAGCAGGGAGAGGCAGGAAGGACTCTTCTAGTGCCTTCAGAAGGTATGCACTCCTGCCAAACTGTGACTTCAGGTTTCTTCCTCCAGAGCTGGGAGATAGTACATTTCTGCTGTTCTAAGCCATGGAATACAATTCGGATGGTACTTGGTGACAGAAGCCCTAGGAACCCAAAACAGCATCCACCCATGGAGCCGACACTGCACTTTTGAACAAATGGCATTCCTCCCACAGTGCATTCCTTAACTCCAGCCTCTGCCCCTCACAGTCCAGCTGTGGTACCTCAGCAGCTCTGAGTAGAGGATTCTTTCTCCACACCATTTGGCAACCTTGGTGGATCATCTTCCCTCCCTATCCAGTGACACTGGGGACACTGGCAGACATCCCCATCCTTGTTCTGGAGACTCTGGCAAGTCTGGCTGGTGTTCTGTGTGATAAGCTGGGGAAAGGAGGGAGAGGTGCATTCTATATGCATTGCTACTGAATACTTAAAAACTACTCCATTTACATCAGGATTCAGGGAACACCTTATATTGCTTCTGCTAATTTCAAGTTCATAGTGGTTCAAATATTTTCTAACCCAAAGTTGAAAAGCAAGTATAGCAACACCATCTGAGCCTGCTGTCTATCAGTGGGAAGTAGAAACATAATCGGAAGTCATTGCACAAAGCCACAGGTGAGCAGGGAAGACTTCGATGTAAAATGCAAACACTACCACCAAACAGCTGGAGCCAGGAACACTGGATCTCATAGCTTTTGGAACCATCAGCAAGACACCATTGTAAAATACGGTGTACTCAGCAGGATAAAGAAATCCAGCTGGAGATCAGCCTGCAAACACGAATGTCAGGGCACATAGGACTAGCTAATACTGAGTGATCTGGCCAACACATTCAAAACCTGAGAGAACAGGTCTCAGTCTTGAGAAAGTAGAAGTAAAATGAGTATGAAATGAGCATGTTTATGATCCTTCAAGAGATTTTCTAAAGCAGGTAGAGAGCATAAAAAAGAGAAAAAACTAAGTGGACACAAATAACAAAGGCAAACCTGGAGATGAAAAGACACAGCTATTCAAGGACAAAGAGACCAAATGAGTCGCAACTGTCTTCTCAGATGTGCAGGGCAACATTGTCCTAGCAGTGAGAGCACAATGATGGAAAGCATCCCATCCCCGCCCAGAAGAAGAAAACAAAGAAAAGGGTATGCAGTGGGATTTCAGGAGCTTCAAATCACCATAAGTGCCATGGAAAAATCTCAAGGCAGGTAAGGAGGTTCCCTCAGGGGGTGGAATATGAAGGGCAGGGAAGGCTGTTCTAAAAAGACATGCAACTGTGGAAGAAGAACATTCCGGACGGATGAGAAGACCTTATCTTAATCAACCATTCTATTATCGGTAGCAATAATGATAAAGAAAACATTGTATTACTGATGAAATTTTAGATGTTCAGTTAATTTGGGAAACAGATCTAATGTCATGGTCTTCTCTTATTCACCCCTGCACTAGAAGTCCCAGCCAATAGAGTATGATGACATAAGAATGAGTTAATTGAGGATTTCGAAGGAAGAAAAAAGGATCCTAACAACTGCAGATGATGGACTCTCAGACAAACCAATAGTACTAATAACAGTGTGCCATGATCACTGGATATAGATGAACATAAAAAATAGTATTCTTATGCATTGATATTAATCAATTAGAAAAGGTAATTTTAAGAAGTCTGCTTATAAATGGCAAAAATTTCAAGCACATAAGAACAAATCTAAGAAAAATTAATTTTATAAAGAAAAAAGTCTCAGAAACACATAAAAGATTATCAAAATTCTTAAAGATTTATACATGTCATTCATCGGAAAGAGTCAACACAAATGAGAGCAAATCTCTGGATGTTTCTTATAGTACCCTTTTTTAAAAAAAAATCCTAAGCTTCAAATAACTTTCAAAGCAAAAATTCAAAAATTCAATATAATGTAAATCTAGATACCAACTGGACTTTTCCACTGAACATGACACAGAAATTCTATAATTCATATGGAAAAATAAGTTAAGAAAATTCTGAACAAGTAGGGGAAACTTGGTCTTACAGAAAGTATGTCTTCATGTTAAGCAGTATTGTTAAATTAAGGTGGCACTGATGCAGGGAGCATCTATGTTCATGCCATAGAGAAGCAATACAAGACTCTGGCTGATGTCCTGTTTGTGTTACCTGTGTGCCAGTATGAAGGCCTTTGGTAGGCTGTAGGCAGCCATGGATCCAGGTGTGAAGAGAGGCAGGAGTTGAGGACTGGGAGAGTGCTGCCTAGGGCACATGGGCTTGTTTCAAGCTCTCTAAGGGGCTTGATGGGAGAGTGATGAAACAAAGATAGAGCTGCCCTCCAATCCATGCATCCACTATGACAATGTCATTTCAGAGCCAGACAGACTAACTTGAGTTCACTCAGCTCAGCCTTCATTCTTGTCAGAAGAAACTGAAACCTATCACAACAGAGTGCATGACAGAGGTCACATGACTATGGACTGGCAGAACCCAGTAGGAACTTTAGTCAGGGCTTAGCCAGGGTTCATTCCAACCAGACTATTCTGTCCCTTGCCATGGCAGATGAGGTCCATGTAATCCCATCTTGAACTTCTCTTCTTCCTTAGTCTCCACAGCAACTCTACTTACCTATTCTCATCTCTTCATTGGCTTTTCCTCCATCATTTCTGGATTCTGTTCCTCTCCCACACCCTGACTTTAGATGTCCCCACCAACATTGGCATACCCCACTGGGCTGCTCAATTTGTTCTCTTCCTGAATGTCTACAAAACCCTGTGGCTTCCATACAAGCTCTAAGCTAACAGCTCATCTACCTATATCTCCACCCCACTGTCCACTAGAAACACACCATTCAATGAAAGCACAAGATGGGTAAGTGAGCAGAACCATGCACATGGCAGCAGAGCAGCAGCACTGTGGAAAAGCCATCGACAGACCACACTCACAAAGATTTGTTGCCATTCAGACATGGGGATTTTCTAAGCCAAGAGCCTCACCAGGAGCAAAACAGACTGTAGGTCCTGACCAGAATGCAAAGCAGTTTTCATAAGATGTGACCATGTCACTAGAAAAACATTGTCAGAGGAGTCTTTCTATAAGAAGATGATTGCAATGGAGGAAGAATTTAATGGTGTCAGCCAGTCTTGAGGAGGCACAGGGAATGCTGCTGTGTGAGACATGAACAAGACTGCACCAGGTGCAGCTCAGCCATCCAACCAAGGGACCACAGGGGACCAGCCTAGCCCCCTGGCTGCCAGGAAAATTGATGAGTTCCAATGAATGTTAGTGACTTCGGCCACCAGGCACCTGTATGATGACAATTTCTTTTGTGTTCCTGGTTTATTCCACTTTCATTTGTACAGAATGAATACAATTTAGTGATCTATTGCCCAGAATGCTGAACACAGTTAATAATAATAGATTGTACATTTCAAAATTGCTAAAAGAGTAGACTTTAAACATCCTTATCTCCCCCCAAAAAGGTGAGATACTTGATCTGTCAACTTGTTTGATTTGATATGTGAATATATAAAATCACATTGCACCATATAAATACATACAAATATTATTTATCTATGAAAAATAAATAAATATACAATTAGAAATAAAACTTTGTTTTTAGTCATAGGTCTCTTCTTTAGAGGTTAGGGCCGAGTTTACAGAACTAACTATGGCATGAAGGAAATACACAAAAATACTCTAACACCTTACCTGGTCCCAGGGAGAGATCGTGCTCCCAAAGCACATGAACAAGTATCCCATGGCAACCAGACATATCCATATCACCAACGAGAAAACACGGAGAAGCTTCTTAAACACAGACTCAATGCAGACGAGGATGAATATGGCAAAGAAAATTGCCAGGGCAGTTGGAACTGTTATTAAAAATGCCACATGCTCTTCAACTTCCTGAGGAAATAAAAACAAAATATAGAGAAGTTACAATTGAGAGACACTTTGATAACAATGATTTATGTTACAATGTTACTGACGTTAATCAGTGTCAAAGTACATTGGGTTTAAAAACTATTTCAAAAGGAGAACAATTTGAGCTTCTAAAAATTTAAGTTTTTTATTAAATAACTATGTTTTTTCTAAATAGATCATCCAATATTGTCTGTTTAAACTAGGCAAAATAATTAGATCCTCAAATATACATTTTCCCTGAGAAATGAAGAAATAAATTTTGTGTACATAAGCCCAAGAAAAGTGAATGAATTCAAGGCCACATTAATGCCAGGAAAAATAAGACCACCAACTTCAGTCAGGGGATCATAAGTATCCTGACCTCAGGAAATAAAGTCTTCCAAATGGATTTGAAATGTTTTATTAAAGAAAATATATTTAACTTGCCTCAGTTTCTGAAATGATGAGCTTTTATCTTAATGCAAATGGCAATTAGTGTTTTAATAGGAAAAGGTCAGAAAGTACTAAATATAGAAGGCTGGAGAGCAGGAAGTGCTTAGCGGAGTCCGCTGTACCTGCTGTTCTACATCTTTAGACTCTCAGGGCTCCAACAGCAAAAGAAAATGAGAATTTATGATTAGCCTCTTATTGATGTATTTTTCTAAATTCATTTTCCCACATTAATACTCTTTTTCTATTTGTGTCTTTACACACACACACACACACACACACTATTTCAATTCTACACGATGGAGCACCGTGCTGTAGACGTCGTGTTTCTCCCAATCACACAAACATGGACTAAGGCTGCAACTTCTGAAATACCTGAAGCTGGGACTGTGTATGGTCGGCAGTCACCAAGAGATGGAACACAGTCAAAGGTCTTTAATCCTCACCCACACCTATGCAGTTACTATCATACATCAGAGTTTCAATCAGAAAACCCACATGGTCCAGACCATGAAAATTTCCTTTGAGTTTTGGAATGGTAAAAGTTAACAGAGACTTGTGGAGTGGATTAACCATCTATCAAATGCTGGACCCAGATGATCCCTAAGCTGTCCTGGTGAGTACCAATTTCCTTCATCCCATTAGCAGCTCTAACATAACACTGGAGACAGCTCCATCCAAACACCAAGCAACTAAGCATAGAGAGACAGGGAAGCACAGCATAACAGCTAAAAACCCACAGGGAGTCCAAGTTACCAGCAAGGGAGCAGAACTAGGACCCAGGCCCATCCAACTGACTTCACTTCTCCCTCACAATTATACGCGTCAATTGATGGAAACAGGCGGCAATAATAAGAATAGTAAGTGCTAGTGAGCACAATTCTTTGTGCTAAGCACTCTTACATATATCAATCTCTTCCATCCTACAGGTAAGAAAACTGAGGCAGGGGTTGTAAGCTGGCCAGGAAGAGAGCCGGGACTCCAGCCTAGTGATCTCCTGCAAGATCTGCACAGCAGGTGCTCAGTCCTCTGGCCATGAAGTGGACAGCAGCTCAACCAAGCCAGATCTGTCATTGCCTGGACAGAAGAATGTGTGTTTCCAGAAGTAGCAGAAAATCAGGGTACTCAACAAAATGCTCTTATTGTCTCCCTCCACTGCTATTTTTATCCATGACCACCTCCCTGAGTTATTACTCTTAAGCCTCCGACACTTTTAACAATCATTGCAAAAGGGTGTATTAGAATCTACCTGCAAAAGCTCCCCAAAACTCAGACACCACAAATCAGTGTGCATGAGGCATGACAGAACATCGTCTGAGGATATCAGATTCAAGATTAGGATTGCTACACATGTGGAGCCTTGCAAACCAACTTCATTTTAAACCTCACAAAATGCACTTAGCTGAGCTGTGGGTGGAAAGCTGGCCCATAAAGAAGCAGAAGACTATGTTTCTAGCGTGACTTGTCACTTTTTTTATTAATTGAATTAGTGACTTGTTTCATTAATTCAGCAGAGGAGAAGCTATCACCAAATTCACTGGCTCTTGCATCTCCAGAAAGACTAAAAAGCATTGAAAAGTATGCATGATTGCAAAGTAAAAATTAGTAACCTCAGAAACAGAAAGATTGTGAGGCAGTCCATCCAGGAAGCGGGGAACAAGCTGAAAGCCCTGCTGGAGCTTTTCCTGCACTTCCTCTTGGAAAGTCATTTGTAGAGATGACAAACAGCCAGTGTCTTGATGGGTATAGCATATATATAAGACTAGATGTTGGTTTTGCTTTGCATAGTGGAGTTTCTATTCTCTGGCTTTTATTTTTAAGTTTTTAAATATCAGGTAACTAAGACACTTGTGTGAGCAGTAGGGCGCCTTCTCCAGTAGTCACAGGGGCACAGTGCCTTGCTTCCACAGTTAGGGGCCCACAAAATATTTTAATTTCTGTTAAATTAAGAACAGAAAAAAAGCACTAGCATTTAGGATCAATTATATATGTCTTTACAATAACACAGTTGCAAACTATAAAATGTTGCATATTGTTTTGGGGAGGAAGCCCCGCCCAAGTCAAAATGAGATCCTGGGTAGCTGGTCGTGTTCTTGCTTACCAGGAGGTGACATCACCAAGTATGTTCTGCATAGTAGCAGCAGGATCAGCTTCCTATAGTCAGACCCGCCTTGGTAGGTGAGTCAGATCCCCACATGGCCAAAGGCACAGGACAGTCATCCACTGCTCACAAGACTGGTGACCTGACCCCTTGCAAAACCTGGGCCCACTGACAAACAGGGCCTCTTTAAGTTAGAGAACATCACTGATTTATTCTGCATCTGCCTTTGAATTCCAATTGTGGGCAAGGTTAAGATATACTTCTCCACAAATGAGAACCTTTTAGATGGTGTCAAGGAAAACACAGAAGAGCATTCATTAAAGAATGTGTGTGCTTATAAACTGCATTCTTCCCAGCCTTGCTGTGTGCATCATGCATTTTTCCTAAGGCTAAGTAAATGAAATCAGGACATGCACTCAGACCAGAATTACACAGCTCCTCTCCTCTCTACACCATCCCCTGTGGATGGGAAGACAACAAAGCCACAGAGGCACATGCCAACACACCACTGCTGTGTTCTTCTGAGCAAGCTGAATTTTCAAGCTTCAGAGTATAAACCATATACAGTCACTTGTAATAAGTAAACTAAAATATCAAAAACATTAATCTCAACAGAAAATTTTTATATATCCCACCCCTCCTCCCTAGGTGGAAAAAAGTTAACATATAATGCAAACTAAATGAAATCTTCTAAATAAAATGTCTTTAGTTATACTAAAAGGCTTTTAAAAGTAAAAAGAAAATACTACATAACATGCAGTAAATGAAATATGCTAAAATGCCTTCTACCAAGGAGATTTGCTTCTACCAGTATCATCTACTATAATGATAATGAGTTCCTATTGCTCCCTTTGAACACTATATCCTTTCGTTTTCATTCTATTCTCTGGCAATTTTGTACGGCTTCTTATTGCTAGGTCTATTAAATACCCATTGTTTTATTTATTATATGACTACGCCTTTGTCTCTTAGAGGCTGTTCTGCAGAACAGCTTATCTGTATTTTCATTCTTTTCCATGTACTTTTCATTTTTTTGTCAAAAGTACTGTCTTTCATTGATATGGTAAAGGATGGACTAATGCAAATGTGTCTGTATTAAAAAAATTATAATGAAGTGCTTTGAAGCAACACGAAAGGCAGAAACCCACTTTCACCATGTCCCGTTGTGCAGCTCAGGTGACAAGCTGAGCATCTTTAAGTCAATTCTTCATCAGACACTGATGGACACTGGGTGTGACAATGTACAGATGCACTGCAAATGACAGGGGTCACCGAGGAAAATGAAACCTGCATTTAGCCATGATCTACATTTGACACAATATATGTGTGGAAATACATATTTTCACTTATATTTGTACTGGAAAAGATTATTCCCATTCTTACCCATATACATAGACAATGTTTTACCATCAAGTATAAAATGAATATATATAAAAATATAATAATTTCAGATACATACAAATTTAATAAAATAGCCTCAAAGTGTATAAAACAATTTGCACAGAAGGAAAAGTAAACTAATCCACCAAGAATGGAAGACTTTAACACCTCCCCATAGCTATTGTTAAGCCAAGAAAACAAGACAAATATGGAAACAAACAAAAAGGTGAGAAAGATTTGAACAACATATTAGCAAGTTTAGCCTAATAGAAAAATGTAGAATTCCACATTGAGCCATCAGAGAGAATAATATCCTTTTCAAGTACAAATAGAACATGTATAAAAATCATGCTCAGTGGTAGAGGACTTGCCTAGCATGTATAAGACCCCTGTTTGATTGCAAGTACCAAAAAATAAAAACTATTCATCAGGTAACTTGCAAAAAAAATTCAATAAGAAGGTAGCATAGAGCCCATTTTCTCTGATCACAGCATAATTTAAACTAGAAGCTTATAGAAAAAACATAAATTAAAACTCATCTCATCTTGATGATATAAAAATCATACGTATAAATCACTTTTTCTTGAAAAAGTGACCATAGCATGAGGTTAAAAAGAATAATGAGCGCAGAGCATGTCAGGACTAATGGTGTACAGACCCTGCAGTATGTGGAAAGAAGCAGACAAATTCTAAAGCTGAGCTGATTTGCTCATTTAGTTTTGCTGGAGACCACATTTCTCAGAATCCCCTTCCTTCTATGATTCTTGGTTAGAGTTGAATGAAAGGGGAACTTGTACCATATTTGGGAGGTGAAAGTGAAGCAAGTGCTCACCAAAACCCTTCACAGAAAGATGTGACTATAGGCAGTCACAGTGGTCCCAGGCCTGCTTGTCCTCACCCCTTCTCCATGCTGCTGTCTTCTTCCCAACTGGTGAACAGTAACTCAGCGGTACCTGGCTGCAGAAGCACAGGTGCAGGAGCTACCCAGAAGCAACAAGTGCCCATAGACCTTTCCTCTGAGTCCCCCTCCTCCATCTTAGTTTCCCTTTGGGTGACCAGCCATATTTGTCTT